AAAAAAAAAATATTTACCAACCCTAATAGTAAATGCCCTAAAAAATAATAAAAAATATTTATTCTTGTATCCACTATATTTTATAGTATTATTACATGAAAATTATTTATGCCCATTAACTTTTCTCCCCCACCTTTCAAATTTTATACCTTTTTAGAAGCATGCAATGCAAGTAGGTCGAATCTAATGCATTTTGTCCTTTTAAAACGAGCCCCTTAAAACTAATATTTGCTCATTTATTATTATTGTTTTTATTTTTATTTTTTAATAAATGAGAAAAGACTGGTCTGATGGAATCTGATCCTTCATCAGAGCTAACTCTACGAAGATTTGACAATCAATCAACATGACTTGCCGCAATCACTATTCTAAAAGTCAACGGTCCGTAAAATTTACTATTACCATTTTAATTTATTTATTTTTTTAATCAAAAGGTGAAATTTGGAGGGAGATAATTTAATTTATATATATTTTTTTTTTTGAAATCCCAACAAATTTTAAAATATCGTACAAAATCATAGTTTCAAATAACTAATTAATAATAATACGTTATGATATTGTAGGATTTTTTAGAATCTCGAGTGAATACTTTGGGAATATTAAGAATAGTTGAGTTGGGTTAAAGTTGAGTTACATTTTGAGTATAAATTAAATGTGAGCAAATTGTTTTATAAACAAGCAAGCCCTAAGCATATCGCAATTAGAAACCTTTAAATAATAGTAAAAAAATTAAAAGAGTGTTCTAATTCAACAATCACTACAAAAAAAAAAATGTTATATTCCAACGAAAAATCTTATGGTGATATAATCCAATGAAAATTTCAACGGTATTCCAATGTATAACTTTCGTTGGAATGATTCTAACAGAAATTTCAACGCAAATATTTCGTTGGAATGTGTTTTTCATTGGAATTTTAAATTTAATTTGGTAATTCCAACGACTATATTTCCAACGGCTTTTTACGGTAAGAATTTCCGTTGGAATGTGCAATTTTCCCTGAAAATTTTATTTCCATCCTAATTGGAAAATCTACCGTTGGAATCGTCAAAATCAAATGGAAATTCCAACGGAAAATTCATTCCGACATAATATTTTTGTTAGAATTTCCGTTGGAATTCAGTGAAAAATTTCAACAGAAACAATAGCATTAAAATATCAATTGAAATTGTCGTTGGAATAATTCTATTGGAATATATTTCCGTTGGAATTTCATCATTTCCTTGTAGTGAATTAAGATCTATTTTGTTGTGATTTAATTGCCCAAAACTCAAATGTGGTGATTAAATCGCAAAACATAAGCTTGTGATATTATGCGCAATACTCTAGGAGACCTAGAAAAAAATTGGGATGAGTTTTATACGTCAACGCTTCTTCGGACACATCAAATTCAGGTGATTAATTTTTTATTTTTTCTTATCTTCATGTGTCGTTTTGCAAAGGAGCAAATTTGGTGATATAATTTGCAAAAGTAAAAAAGTCGTGATTAAAATGCAATTTCAAAATAGAACCATATTTTGAAAAAAAAAAATTGTATCTTGAAATATTGATAGACCTTAGCTATAAGGTGTAAATGATGGATATTTGACAATTGTGATGTTGCAACAAATAATAAATCTTGGAATCTTGAGTTCAACACACAAGAAATTAATAACAGTGAAGTATAAAGAATAAATAAATTTCAATTAGGTGGTAATATTAGCACCTTATGATAAAAATCTATATATATATAATTACTAGCTCTTCTACATTTAAGAAAACCTCATAAATTATACTTAGGTGGCACTTTTACATTTTTCCCCCAAAACCGTTACTTTTCATTTATTTAACATAATTAATAGATAATCAACACACTAATCAATTTAAAATACAAAAATCACTTTAAACTTTTGATTACTGACAATTAACCATATAATGTGTTACCGTATAATGTGATTAGATATTATTATTGTGGTTACATGTAAATTATTTTTTTTGGAAAATAAAAAAGTATATGAAACTCCTAAATAAATTATAAATAATTTTAAAAAAAATACATAAAAAAATCAACTCCTTTAATTGTAAATTTGGCTGCAAATTAAAACGTGAAAGAAAAATAATTAATCATTATATATATACGAATAACTCACAATATTTTATTTACATTTGTGCAAATGCACAGATAAAATAATTTGCGAGTGAAATGTGACGAATTACGCGTTACCCATTCCATTTTCTTATTTATTAGTGTAATTTGAGGTATCATTATGGCTTGTAATATGTGCCATTAATTTTATTTTTATTTTGCTTCATAAAGGCGGTAATAGTGATCTCGAACTTTAACAAACTACATTATGTTAAAAGTTTAGGAAATTACGTATAAACCCATATTTATCAAGTTTAATGAGTCTTTAACGAGAAGAACTTGAACTTTAACGTGTTGAAAATTCTGGTTAAAATTACGTTAAAATTCTTAGTTTTCAAGTTTGTCGGACATTAACGAGTCGAGCTGAACTCCATTCATTAACTAAACGAGTATTAAATGAAATAACAACTCTAATAAACGAGCAGAGTCGAACTTACGAATTGTTCATTTCTTCCAACAGATCTGATCACGTAGAAATTGAGGGCTAATTAAAATAAATTAAAATCAATATGTACGAACTAATATATAGGAAAAAAAAAATGAATAAAATTAATAGAAAACATATGGCACCGTCCGTGATTGGACACTGACACTATGGTCACTTATGATCGTGCCAAATTTAAGAAGATAGAAGAAATATTGTCACACCTATTGTTTAGTACATTATTGTTCAAAATTTAGTTGTTTTACGAATTAAAAAGTCCAATGTGAAGATAGCTAACCTGTCTAATCTCACTATGGACCCTATCATCAAAGGACACGTGTACAGTTTAATGTTTGATCTGAAATTTATATATATATATATTCATTCGGTCGGAGATTATACCGTTAGATCAACTATCCTTGACGGTTACATAATGATCCATCAGCTATAAATCCCGACAGAATTGTTCCATAACGAGACTGATATATATATAATAATAATAATAACAACTGTAAGTTTTCGAAATCTTTAATTTACCGTTCAAAATCTTTAATTTACCGTTCGCCAAGTTAATGTTATTGTTTAGTAATAGAGGTTTGATCCGTCAAAATCTTTAATTTACCCAAATAGTAGTTTGAAATAATTTTTGAATTAAAAAATTAAGAAAAGTTCAGTGTTGTTTCAGATTGTAAAGTTAGTTATTTTTACATATCAAAAAAATTAATTAATTATCAAATAATTTAACGGGCTGTCTAATTCAATCAGCTAGTCAAAACGATTAATTCAAACTGTTATGAGTTAATTAAAATAGCTATTCACGATCTGTTAATGTTAATCTCCATATTTATTTATAGGTGTTGACTTTTTTTTGTTTGATTTTCTATTCACAGTCAACCTTGTATTCTACATTAATTTATTTCACTGATTAATTATAAAAAAACATTTCAATAAAATAGAATGTTACAATAGTATTTTTCTCTCAAAGGTTCAGTGAATCCTCTCTCTCAAACTGTGGTCCATATATAGTTTTATAAGTGAAATAATTGATTTCATATATATAAATTTAATCAACCCATGAAAGAATC